TTAGAGACGTTCTGCGCGAGATAGCCGTTCACGTAATTCGTCCGATTACGCGCTGTGTGGGCATGAAGCGGGCAAATAGTGTTGTGTGCATAATTACCGGAGGCACTGTTTTCATAGTGATGCAAGTAGGTTCCTATACCGAGATACGGGCATTTAAAGTTTAAAGTGAAAGAAACAGTAAAGATTTTACGACAAAAATCTTTAATAAATAAATATTTTCATCTCCTTTCGCGCTATCTTGAAAAACTTTTTTGTATTTGCGTGAAGAATAAAAGGGTATTAGAATTCTATTGAAAATAACATGCATAGTTTTCTTTATATATAAATGTAATCAGCTACTTTGTGATTTTAAATTTAATTTATAAGTTGTATTTTTCAGATATTTTTTTTAATAAATTAAAAAATTTAATTATCAAATGTGTATACAGTATATTTTATTATATATTAATTATTATAATTAATATTTCATTTAGTATCTTACGATGCAGTAATATGTAATTACCACATTTAAATCTCATTAAAAGATATTACTCCTACTAAATTTAATAGATGCGAAACTTGTTCAGAATACCAAGATAACAAGTCAAATGCACAATCGATTTAGTGAATAAAAGTATACTTAAATTGTCCGATAAAGAAGAATAAAGCCGTTAATTGCTCTCAGAAATAAACAATGATAACAGACAGCACGTTTATACAAGCGTGTACGTACGTTTACTGAGCGTGCCTATCGCATGTTTTTTAACATGCTTCGTCCGCAGATCGTTCAAATAGGGCTCTGCATCAGGAAGGATGTTCCTTAAATCTGATAAGATCACCTTTACAGCCTCGTTGAACCTGCCAATGCAGTGAGAGAGATTTTTTCTTTCAAATAGACGTCTCGCGCTAAGTAGATATACGATACGAGTAGATACAGAACACTGGATCACACACGACTACTCCACGCGAACTCCCGACGCGTTAGCATACTCAGGCGGCGTATTTCGACAACTGATGCGAAGGTAATGGGACAGAGGTGAAAACTTTTCTTGCGATGTCACGTAACAATTACGATGACGGCGATTTCACAGCGGCGAACAGTACGAATCGCGGACGCTCCTTTGTCAAGCGGCACGGCGCTTCGAGGTGTGCGCGAGATTTTAATGAAGGTAGAATCGGATGTAGGCAGCACAGTGGCCTCAGACTCACTGGCTAAATTGTGCGATTTCTCGAGGACGTCTTTGGAATCTGCGTATCTCATTTGTTCAAAGTCTTCTTACATGTCCCCCGTCATCCATCTGTCTCGTGTCTTTACTTAAAAAGCTGCAGCACATATTTGAGTAGTATTTGAACATACAACAGAGATCGGTACACGAAAGATCCACGCGTATTAGAACAATAAATGGCAATTTCAAGTTTGTAATACTCGCAGACAATAGAGAGAGAGAGAGAGAGAGAGAGAGAGAGAGAGAGAGAGAGAGAGAGAGAGAGAGAGAGAGAGAGAGAGGGGGGGGGATAAGTAGAATTTGCGAGTAGCAAATACAAGATGTCGGAGAATTATCACTGTAAATTTAATCGCTTAACAGCGCCGTTTTTTTATAAGGCAACTATTTAGGGCCGTTTTAGAATTTCCGTGACGTAAGTTATCTTTGCTCAAGAGCTTATCGTGCGTTTGTATATCTGTTTTACTTCTTATCCGTTGTTTTTTAACGGGATGCTCCTCGTACTTTCATGCGAGTCCTCAGCCGGTGCACGCAGTTTGCGATGCACAAAGTACATACCTAAACTCAATTAAGATTGCTTTGTAAAGTAGCAATTGTATAATGCGTTTTATTCATTGCTTGTATATACAACATTCTTTTGACTTGTGAATATATTCTCATGCATTTTAAGAAGAAAACATTGATTGTGATCTTTATATTAATTCATGTTTTATTATTTTGAAATATTATGTATCTTACAACCTTTTCAATATTTCTGCATGCGCGTTGTTAATCAAAATAACTTTTATAAATAATTATTTTTCTGTCTTATTGTTCTTGTTATATATTTTTTCTACAAATGTATTATGAATGTATTATTGTAGTTATCATAATATAATTGTGACTAAAAAATTCAAGACTGACTAATATAACTAACTTGATGAACTAGTAATATCAATATATAATAATAGTTTCATAAATTATGTTTCTCCTTTGTATTAGTTACAACGAGGTGATGAAGAAGCCATAATAATCTAAGCAAAATTAAAAAATCGTCATTGACTCATTACCGGAATCAAATACATAATTTCTTCGTAATAAGTGTCGTTTAAATCAATTATCGATTCTCTGATATTAATCACGAAGTTGCTATTTTCAAACTGAACTATTGTATAACACACACGAACAATTAGAATTGTTCTGTATAGTATTATATTAATAAATATTCTGTATAGTATAAATGATAATTACAAATTGCATTTATAAGAATTCTAGAAACAGCGATAACATCGATTGTTAAAGAAATGTCCGTTTTATAAGATAATAAATGCCTAATTATTGTTTAAACAAATTATGTAGCGAATAAGATGAGATTTCACTGTTTTGAGAGAAACACGTACTTACATCATGCAATATCTCAATTTGTTAAGCTATTGCTTTTTGGAATAAAATGTTACTATGTTGTTATTTTCAATTAAGATGTACACAATTAATAAATATAATTATGTTATAATAGATAAATTATATTTCAATATTAAGTTATAATTTAATTAAAAAGTTTCATTACGCGTTCGTTGAAATGCACGAAAAGATTGTGAAGAAATTGAAAAAGTAAATACTCGGTAAGGGGTTAAGTGAAAATTGGAGCTTATTCGGCATCGAAAACTGCGTTTAAATCAGCTGAAGTAGCGGAAACGCACGATAAGCAAGGAGGTTGTCGAAGATACTCGGAGCAAGGGGCGTGGTTTCCTCCCTCATTGCCTCTGCGTATTGACGCTGTTATTGGTCGAAGACGAGGCATTCGCGACGTTCCTATACTGACGGATATCAAGGGGAGGTAAATGCGACGCTGCTAAAGTATTTTCCGTAACCTCCTTGCTCAACATGCTCCTCTAGTAACAGAAACGATTGTTGGAGTATCGCGAAAGACTGCAAACTCGATAACATAAAATTAATCTTTCTACATTTCTGTGATCTTTCTTGTGACTCAAGGAATGCATTAATATATTTCTTTCATTCATACATATCAAGTAATATATGAAATCGCATTTCTTCTGTGATATCGTTGTTGAAATTTCTGAAGGAACAATAAGTTGAATATGAGATGAAACTTGAGAAATCTTTCTGTCGATAGTACGCATTCATCTGTTTGATACTTTTATCAAATATTTTTTCTGCATGCATTCAGAGCGCGAGACGTCATTTTGCGAATTTCCTTGAAAACGGTATTTCAGTGAAAATTATAGGTTGTTAAGGAATAAAATTTGTGATCACAAGCAAAATTATACGCGACATTATGCACAATTGCAAAGAACAAGGTTCTAGCGAGTTATTTGAGAGTACGTACAAGGTTTGTTAATT